ATAATAACACAGCAATAGTTAGTTTCAGGTGATCATACACTTATGAAAACATCATTCTGAATATCATATTCCATTTAATTTCTGTCAAAAGAATCCCTTTAAATTCTATACACTGGTCGTTTAATGTTGCTCATCACTTTATTAGCAAGCTCCATATAAACTGGCTTGTGTGTCTTGGTCATTACTATCATGGGAAATCAGTAGCTCAACAACTACACACAGTAAAAAAAAGTATTGAAGTACAAGAATTACTTGAGGAGGAACATTGGTTGGTATGTTCCACGGTCAATTAATAAAATAACCTTGACACTGGAAGTTAAAGACCTAATTTAGAACTCATAGTTATCTGGGGATATAGAGGTTAAATCATTTTCCTCTGTGTCATCTGTGTCAGCAGAGGAAAAGACTCTGTGGCACTGCAGCCAGGTACCACCTCGCATTACTTCATCTCACTGAAAAGTGAATACAATCATTTCTGCTTGTTTAGCCATTTGAAAAACTCGCATAGAAAACTCTCATTTCCTTATTCTCCAATCTGACACCTACAGCTGCAGCAGGGAAGAGCAACGGCAGCACAGCACAGACATTTATCACTGACCGGGAGTCTTTTCAGCTCAGGCGCTTGTATTTGCTTACATGTTAGGAGATAAAGCTGCAGGAGGTATCATTTATTACCAAAGCTGGTGGAAGTCAGCACAGGGATTTAACAAATCAGCCACAGAGCTGCTTCCACTGACATTCATAATTCATCATCAGATGGTGCTTTACATTGAGATAAACATGTTCTTCGTATTGACGTCGACTTAATAAAACTACAGCAGCATTTTTGGAAACTATCGTCCAGTAGTGAAACAGTCTTAAAGGAGCGTAACTTCACAGGCTGAAGGATTAACTACTGTTTTATTTTGAGCATCAGATACGAAGACACACAGTTCTGTACTCTAATGCAGCATTGGTGTGGTGTTTGTGTATACACTTTATATTTACATTTCATTTATACATGTATACTTTATAGTCTATTGTTTTATTCTACTATATTATGAGACTCTATTATGAGACCGTTATCTTGGAGCAAGCTCTCTAATCTCTCTGGATTAACAGATTTATCTTATTTTACAATGTACATCAACAACAGTTATTACAATACCAATATGACCATTCTGACTGTTTAACTGGCTCACAGTCTTATAAGAAAATGAATTATTACTGAAGTCCTCTAATTACTTTGGTATGTGATGTTCCCTGCACACCATACTGAAGCTCATAAACTCAGACTAACATTTAATGTGTGATGATTCTAAAGTCTTGGATGGAATGTGGTGTTCCACTAATTCTTTATGTGACTTTGTTGTTCCAAGTCGTCACTTAGTGCACACTGGAGCACCACACCCTCACTTTACATTGGATGTGAGGGGAATTGGTTTGCCTCATCGATTAAACATGAGGAATATGTGCATTCTGCTGTTATTGGCTCTATGATGTGATGCCTTTACCTGCGGATCCGGAGGAGAGGCGCGTCGCGATGGCGCGTCGAGGACTGCGCGGACTGCGCGGACTGCCCGGACAAACCCGCACCAGCTCGTCCTGACACTGCACACAGATCACTTGGCTCTCCTGGTTCTCCCCGACTTTGCTGCTGCAGTGTTCGGCCCCGGCCTGGATCTTCATGCCTGCGCTGATCTGACGGACCAGTCGCATGTCAGCTCCTGCCTCATGCTCCAGCATCCTCCTCACCGGCGGCGGCAGCGGCCACAGTCATTACGCACGACCCCGGCGTGTGGAGGCAACAACTTCTCCTGGCACTTGCAGCTTCGCTAACTCCACCCACCGCTATCTTACTCCCACGCTGAGTGTTCAGACCTCTTCATATACAGTCTATGGTTCAGACCTATGGTTCAGATCTGACTCACAGCTGCTCTCCACAGCTGCCCCCCTCATCCTGTCGGCCTCTCTGGGCTCGTGGAGCTGGTTATGTCGCAGTCCTTACGCGCGACTGCAGGAGTGGCTGCTCCACGTGCTTCCTGAGATCTCAGTGTTTGGTTCCAATGGGAATATTTGTGGTACCAGAGTAAATCATTAAATGAAATCTCTCTACAAAAATTAGTACAAAACATAATCGTTGGTTGTCCTAAAGTGATTATTACTGAGATACCAATGTAATGAGAACACCACAAAGTAATTTTGAGTAGTGCGCCATGGGGGACCAGATTAATAACATTAAGGACTATACTATAATCGTGATTTCACACTCTGGAGGTCCTGAAAACATATTTTCTCCACTAACCTCTTACATGTTCACTACTAGCTACTGAAGAGTTTTTGTTATTCATGTTTTCCATTTCAGTTTTTCTTTACAGTGCTCTTGAAACCAGCCAGCAGCTGAATAATCCTATACACATCATGTGAAGGGATCTTGTGACTTCTGGTAGTTCTTATCACACTCATGTATGTTCAAGTGTTCACTTTATGCAGGCCCCAAGATGGCAGTGTTCGTAACTAGGATATTTTGGCTTCAATTTCTGATAGTGGGAGGAAGAGGAGATGCTGCATCCATCTTCATATACAGTCTATTTCAGTGACTGTACATTGCAGCCAGTGTATTTCACCCTTATGGGATATTTTGACTTAATTCTGTGTGTAAAATATTTATTGTTAGACAATTCTCCAACAACAAAAACTGTATTCAGATCAATCCATATCTTATCTCAGCAATATGACTGAACCTGGCTGGACACTGAGGTCAGTGAGATTTATAAAAGCTTAGATCCTGAGCAAAGCCTCTTAATGTTTAATGTAACATACCATTTACATTTTATTTTACGACTTTATTATAATACATGAGGATAGTATAAAAAAGGGTAAGAGGCACTGCATTTTACTCCAGATTAAAGATGCTACATGGAAGTTGTTCTTGTTTCTACTTGGCTCACATTAGTTTTGTACCGATTCCTAATTGTTAAGTACAAAATCTGAACCAAATCAGAGCAAGTGAAAGCTAAATTACTGACTCAATAAACATAATCTGGGGCTTCCAGCCTTGGCAGTACAGAGAATGTGGAGGGAGAAAACTCTTCAGCTGAGGAAAGGCCCTATGTCACAAGGGAAATAGCCCAGATCTGTCGAGTAATAACTCAGCTATACTGCAGAGATACTTTATACTGTTCTACATTCACAAGCAGATGTGGACCAGACTCAGCTGACGAAGCCCAATCTATGTGTCAACTTTTGTGTGTTTAGCTTTGTAGGACTTTCCCAAAGTCTAATACTGGACATTTCAAACAAGGACGAGTCTTGAAGGAGTTTTTCTCAGAGGCAGATTGTCACCTCCAGGATGCCCTTGTTATGTAGTGGACAGATGAAGACAAACACAGTCAGTAAAAGAAAGATGGCAGTGTTCTGCAGAGAGCAAATGCTCACCTCTCTTCTTGCAAGCTCCAATCACCAACATGATAGGTGATCAGTCTTCATCTCTTCTGTGGCTGCAGCACAGCACTGGGATCAGTTCAGCAGCGTGTACACTCATGTATCCCTGGCCACACTGAGATGCACACACAGGTGACAGTATTCTGCAGGTTACAGGCTAGCTCTATGAGTCCTTTGAAAATCCAATAGAGCAGGACAGATCATTATGTTAGCCTACACTACTTTTTTTGTAATAAACTGTAAAATAGTATGAAATGCTCCTAGGCCTAGATGTAACCCTGGATTATAAAGTTGTTAGCCAGACACGCAAACATTTACAGATTATATTCGAAAAGATCAACTGTTTAATTAATTTGTTCTTGTATGTTTTGTTTTAAGGTTAAGGAAAACAGACCATCTCCCAAACCAACTGTTTTACCACAAAGGGATTTGACAGCTGTTGTTCTGGGAAGTCAATCGGGCAGAGAAGCAAACATATGCTTGCCGTCAGTTATTTAAAGGCGTTTCCACTAGCAGAGCATTCATGGGTTAACTGCTGGAAATATGAACTGGAAGGAAAAGACGTGTTGGAGGGAATGAAAAGGTCAGTAACAGGAATCTGTTCTGCTTCCTGAGGAGAACATGGACCGATGACGGAAATCTGTAAATCTGGACATTGCAGTATAGTAATGTATATATAGTGTATATATAGTATAGTTAAATATCTCCAGGAGAGGGCAGCAATGCAACATCATGCTGACTGGTGGCTGAGGTCGTCAGTGCAGACTTTATTGGCTGGTTTAGTTGATTGGTGTTGAAACAGTTTGGTTAAGTGAAAATTGTTGTCAAGTGTGTTTAGCAGAGCTCCTGTTGTAACAAGGTATAGCGTGTGCATACAGACAAAACTTCATTTTTGTATGTGGTAATGCACTGTGCCTTGTGTTTAAGGTTTGGTGGGTTCTAAAAAGTTGTCAATGCCAATGGTCTGGCCTGCAGCAAAACGTACTTCCTGACCCCTGACAAACGCGGTCCTACTGACCACTTAATCTGCTGCTGAGAATAGTGCCAAGCAGATTAAGCACATCCTACCATTTGAGCGAAGTTACAATAGCTACACTGCCTAGTTGTATGGGGAAGTTACATATTAAACTAGGTATTTATCAAGCATTTGGGGGCCTTCCTAGCTGTAGTCTAACATATTGGTGATGTGTCACTGCCACACATTCTGTGTTTGCAGTGATCCAACCAGCAGTTTGACCAAACTATTGCTTCATTGGATACACCAGTGCTGTTGTTGTTCTCTCTCACTTCAGCGATTTCCCCACGGACACTGCACTAGTATTATCTCAAGCTGAGCTAATGCTGAGTTACATGATGGCTTCACCTTAAGACCCATCATGTCCTGTCCTTGGACACAGAGTGAGGTGCTGGGAACTTGATGTTTGTTTGTTTTAGGTTTCATCCGCTTTCTGCAGTTGGACAGTTTTTAAAGGAACTTTCAGGAAATCCCTGGAAAATGTGGTCATATATTTGTTTGTTCTTTGTTTGTCAACTGTCTCCGCTAAATAATTGATGGCAGTCACAAAGTTTATCGTGTATGATTATTACCCACAAGCCTTTAATGACTATGTTTGCACATAGATGATTCATAATGACAGAAATGCACTTGCTCCTTACATATCGACTAAACACATTTCTCAGTTCACTGAAAACAATAACAAAGTAACACAGTTAACCTTAAAAGCAGAGACACTCGGGTACTAAAATAGCTGTGCTGCAACAAAATCCAGCCTGAAGTTAAACATGTGCGGCCTCCTCTCACACAGACTTGATCATCATTCTGCTGGTCTTGAGAGAGTGCACCCCGTGAGATTTCCAGGTTCTCCAGTGGAGGCCGGACCCCCAGCCAATGTGATCACCGGTAGGATGCCAATCACCATTCAGCCCGGCAGAACCACATCTACTGTACCACCAGCCTCCGCCCTCTGTGAAGGTACATTCTCTTTGAGCAATGTCACCAAAGATGCAGGGCGAGCAGCCATCGTTGTCACGGTCAATAGTGCTGAAGCCGTAGCCGTTCTGGTCAACTTCTCCGTTGGCACCACGGATGGCATCACCTTTAAACAGAGTTGGTGAAGTAGTTAATTAAAATCCTCTTAATTTACATTTGTAATGAATATTACACTGTGGTCCAACAACGAGGGATTCATTAGTTCTAAAAGGGAATGAATTACTCTCATTATCTGTCAACCACTGTGTGTTTGCATTAAAATGTAAATATTAACTCAGCTTTGTTGCTATAAAAACTGGTCACACCCAGCCAAGACAGACTGTAGCTGTAAAACACCGAACTGTCCCAACTTCAGCAAAAATACATTTTTATCATGCATACATTTCACTCGTCATTTGGACGATGAAATTATGATATTGTTCTTTCAAAGAGAAAGAATACCAGTCTTATTTTAAAGTTACCGTGTGGAGCATTTTACTATAGAAATGATATGCGTTAATCTTGACACACAACAAACTATGAGGACAGGTGCTTGCTGTTGTTTCAGAAGACAGAGCTAAAGCTGTTGAAGCTAACAGCAGACAAAGTTAAAGTCTCCTCTTGTGTGACACAAGGAGCAAAAATCATTTTATGGGGAAAAAGGTTGTTCCCACCATGAGAAAAATAAAGATTCAAAACATTGAACACTTCATTTGATAATGATGATGTGATGCTTAAAATTTCCAAGGTGAGCAGCTTCACTTTACAAATACTCATATAGTACAGGATATTCAGTGAGGCAAAAAGCCAATCTGAAAATAATGAATGACATTTTTATAGAAACACAGAATACACGTTTCTTTGGAAAAGGCAAAGCAAACAAGGGGGACATTGGGGAAAAAGTACCTGCGTTTCCTGTGTATTTCCCGACATGCAGTTTGAAATGTTCCTTCCCATTTCTCAGTTTGAAGTTTTTGTACTCAGCGAAGGCGGTGGCCCCGTTGTGGTCTGATAAATCCACCCTCATGGTCCACTTCTTGGTCTTGTGCTTGGTCACAATGAAAACCTTCTTCAGACCGAGCCAGTGGTCGTCTGGGAGAAGAGGATTTACACGTGAGTCTGAAATACCTTTACCATTTAACCCCAAAACCCTGTGGTTTACCTCTTCACACTAACAGTTGTCTTTGCTGCAGTACAGATGTATATTTTTGTTGTCTGCAGGTGAATCAGATTTGTGCTTGCATGAGTTAGCTTTTTTCTCATATTTTCTCCACTGTATTGTAACAGAGTAATTTACATTTAGGCCTAAAATTTAGTGTCTCGTCTGTGTTTATATAAGATGGGCTTTTTCTTTTTTCTTTCTTTTTTCTGTCAGGTGTGTCACAGTTCTAGCCTGGCACTGCAGCACACACAACCACACTTAAACGCTCTCAATTAATGACGCACACACTGTAGCTAACAGTGTTGTCTTTTACTTACGTGTCAGGTTTCCAAAACCATTTTTATATGCAGCCCACTTCCTGTGAAAGGAAACCTCTCCTCCGCTGCGCCTCTGAAACACCATCCAGCCTCCATCTGCCCGCATCTCACAGTACACCTGAGCAGGTAGTCCAGGAAATACTTACATACATACATACTATTCAAGATTTGCAGAGCAGGAGCAGAAACTTCCTCGTGTTTACTACAGTCTGAAACAAGCAACCCCCCCACCCCCCCCAAATGGCTAAATGCATAATGTCATACTTGATACCTTAAATGGGGCCTTGACTCCATGAGGCTGGATTACGTAAACCCCACTGGATGCATTTGGAGAGAGAGCTTTAATCTGTGTGCAGTCTTTTCCTGTAGTTTATACAATGAGAGAAAGACAAAGGGAGGATGATCAATATGAATATATGGAACCTTTACCTTCCATCATGTGAATGATTAACTGTAATACATCATGCTCCGTACCTTGAGAGGAAACTGCCGTACCCTGTTTGTATATCACAGAAACAGTTTTAAAATATAAAACTTAAAGGTAGATCAGATATAGTACAGAAAGAAGACTTTCAAAGGTAACAGGTTTATGTAGTTTTATTTTTACCCTCACCCGTTTGGTTTCTGTTTGGCTCAAGAGAAACACCAAGATGAGTCCAACAAATGGAACCAGACTCTTCATTTTGACCTGAGTTTAAATGTTTAAAAGATGTTTTAGTCTGAGCAATCCCAGAGTCACAACAACATTACTTCAATCACCACTCAAGTCAATCGTTTCTTCCTCCACTCACCTGCGTGTGTTATATGAAGCTTGTATCTCTGGTCAAACTCCACAACAAACGCAGTCCCTTATTCCCTCAGACTAAACTGCCACACCTCCTACAAGTTCGATTTAAATGCTGTGATGTCAGACTGGGGAGGAGAAAAGTCTGAGCAACAGATCCACTTCCTGCTTTCCAACTGTTTTTCCTTTTGTATGCCACACAACCTTCACAGCTGCAGCGTTGTTAAGTCTTTACGGGCTTGTTTCTCTGACCATACCCACCTTGCTGCACCTCTCAAGACAAACAACATTCCTTCTTCAAAGATTCTTGTCAAATAGGAAACGCCTGCTGTGTTGTTGAAACCTCATTCGGTAGTCTATAATGATGCAGTCATGATATTTTGCCTGCAAATTACAGGAATCAGTCTTTAATGGAATAGATCATTTCCTATTTGAAAGCCACAGATGAATACAATTATAATTTCCGTGCTCCCCAGAGGATGAATCCTGTATCTGACAAATGGAATTGGAGCACGCCATATCTCTTCTCCATTTGGATCATGCCATAAACCAGTCCTTTTGTTGTGCACCCATCCTCTGTCACATTAAATACACTGTTTCAAACCAATAGAAAAGGCTTAAACAAATGCAAAAATCACCTCATGTAAAAAAGACTTGTTTGGCATGGCCTGTAAATACATAGATTTCAGGGACTTTAAGATATTGAACTATATGTATAGGTTTAAAAAGAGAGAGACAAAGGTCAATTAGATCATTTATTTCAATTTCAGTGTAGAAACAACAGGTCATAATAAACCTGTAAATGATTGAGGTCAGCGTGTTCCTGGTGTTTCAAGCCCAGACAGGTCACTGTGTGACTGGTCATCTGAGCCGTCATACTTCATTTTGTACGTCCAATTCAGTTTGCATATAAGTTACAGTGCATTCATACTCTGAATACTTGCATCAAATCAGCTTTAAGAAATTCACCGAATTATTTGAACTAAAATGATTTATTGACTTTGGTCATGATGCTGTTGTGTTACTCTTTGACACCTTAACACACAGCGGGAAAGACATAAAAGAAAGCAAAGATATATGGCCATACTGATGAACGCAGGAACACGCCAGGTTACACAACACCCTCTCTTCAGGAGGCAGGAGAGACAGTCTGAGGTGGGAATGGACACCAACACTGGATGCAAAGGTATCACTACCTGGCAACCCACGTCTTGTTTGATCGCAAAAACTGTGGCCTATGTGTTCAACCAGCGTAAAACAGACCTCCCTCCCTCCTTCAGAGGCTCTATGAGGATCAGGTGATACAAATCCTTTGAGCCCAGGTAGGAGGTTTCTTGTCATAGCCAACAGTCAAATCCTTCTGCTCCTTTTCTCCACATGCAGTAAATCCATCCAGAGGCTCCAGTCCAGATGTGTCAGAGTATGGGTCCTCCAGAGCTTCGAGGACCCTGTTGACCTGCAGAACAGAGGTACAGATGACTACTATTGGTCCTTGAAGCAAAAGTATGTGTTAATCATTGAAATATTTAAAGATAACCTGGCTGTGAAAGAGCATAAGACAAGATAACGTGCTCATAACCAAGACAAACTAAGAATATAAAAAAACAAGCACACTGTGTGATAAAGGCTGCTTTAAAGAACCTAGAATGTAGGTTTCTACAAAGAATCAATCAAAATCTCCTGACCTCAGAGAAGTCTCCTTTTTCTGCAGCTTGAATTGCATTCTGGGCAATGTAGTTGCGTAGGATGACCCGGGGGTTGTTGCTGTTCATCACACTGAGCCTCTGCTTTTTGATGAAGGACAAGTTACTCGCGTCATCAGACTCTTTGGATAAACGCCTCCTGTTAATTCAGCACATGAAGATTTATTAATGGTCTCTTCTTAACATCATTCACATTAAAGATCAGTTTTACTGAGGTGCTCATTAGTGCGTCTTATAGCGTACCTATATCGACTAACCCAGCGAACCCAGTCGTCACGCTGCTTTTCCTTGAGCTCATCTTGATCCGTCTCGAGCAGCTCCTTTAGCCGACCCATCCGCTCCAGCTGCTGGGCCACACCTGGGCTGCCTGCCGCCATGCTAAACATGACCGGGTTGGTTTGTGCCATGGACAAAATCATCGCCAATTCACTAGAAACAGAGAACATGCTGAGGAGAAGTGACCGACACTGTTCCACATAAGGCTGCTACTGTAAACCCTACCTACACAACAAAACAACATATTTAACTCACATATTGTCTCGGTAAGACTTTTCCCCCAAATGCTAGCATTTGAAAGAAAAACAAATTAGCTGACAATAAAAATGTGATGGTCTGAAACTGGAACTCTGCTGACACAGGATTAGATGTACAGTCAGGAGTAAATGGTGGGGCGGACAGAGGCTTTACGTTCTCATTACAACTAACAAATGTAAATCCAACCACCATGTACCCCCTCACCGGTCCTCCATTGTTGGCTTATTAGCCACCTTAAGTTCCTCAATAGAGGAACACTGGTGTAGGATGAGGTCCACAACAGGCAACACAGCTTCCCTCTCACAGTCGCCCTCCTCAGGCCAGGGGACACGGCTCAGCAGGCGGAAAGTGTTAGTGAAATCTGCACCTGTATATAGTTGCAGAATGAGGGAAGCCGTTGATATAGAAAAGTTGCACGATGGCTAGACTGTTTTAAAGTTCCATGACAATTGTCTACCAGGTCTTTGTACCGGTGTTGTGCATGACACACAGCAGGTCTGATATGAGCTTTCTGTCCTCTGCCTCCTCTCTGCTCACCAGGCCCAGCTTCTTCCTCATGATACTCAGGTAGAAGGCCTCATACGTGGGCATAAAGTCATCGAGGATAGCTCCTGCCTCAGCAGCATCCAGCTCTGAGCCCAATGCTTCAGCCAGGCGAGCCAGGTTCCAGCGGCACACAGATGGCTGGGCTTGGTATGAGTAGCGGCCTCTTTTGTCGGAGGCATTGGAGTTAAAATCTGGATCATAGCTGACATAAGAGGAATAGTTTTAATATATAGAAGAATATGATGTACTGGATGGAATGACATTGTTCTTAAAGTAAAGAAATTATCTTCTATCTACTTACTTTACTTCAAAACACATTGTAATCTTACTGAGGCATAGATGAAAATTATGTATATATATTTTCAAGGTTCAACCTTAGGAGCATAAGAATAATATTTTAGATTGGAAGAAATCTAAATCTCAAGAAAGTGCACATGTTTACCGGTCCATGAAACCGAAAGGGCCATAATCCAGAGTTAGACCCAAGATGCTCATGTTGTCTGTGTTAAGGACGCCATGGCAAAAACCCACACACTGCCACTTGGCCACTAGCTCAGCAGTTCGTGTCATCACCTGGGGATAAACACATTTGATGATAAACCACCACCTTAAAATGAAACCAGCTAAAAATAAGAGCAAAGAATTTTGCAAAAAAAAACACGTAATTTCTCACCTCTCTGAAAAAAGCCATATTTCTATCTTTACGGTTGCTGTGATCCTGTTGTATGGAAGGAAAGAAGCTGTTAATAACGTAATCCAAGAGCTGAGCGCGAATGTCATGCCGCCCGGCGCTGGGACCCTGCAGGCCTGAGAATTCATCACGGCCCAGAAAGATCTCAAAGGATCCGAACCTTCAAAAGAAATTCAAAAAAGATTCCATATTTTTTCCAGATCCTTCTTTGACAGAAGGTGTTTGTATATTGATGAAAGTCAGACGGCACTTGATGAACCGCACCTGATGAAGGACGGGGCGAGGCGCAGGACCACCGAGCATCGCTCAGGAATCCGCTGGCCACTGTTGAGGGGATCTCTCATGACACAGAGGTCAGAGGTGACGAGGGAGGCCGCACGGGTGCTGGGTGTCCCGAGGGCAGCCATGGCCTCGCTGCAGAGGAACTCTCTGATGCTGGAGCGAAGCACCTTCCTGCCGTCACCATCTCTGAGGAAGATTAAAACGTGGCTGTCACACGTTTAAGAGATCCTCAGCTCTGTTTAGCACATGTCAGGCAGTCTGCAAACTTCACACCCATTGTTTTAACATTTTAAACACTTTAAACTGAGGGATTTACAGAATGTTAAGATAAGCTAAGATAATCCTTCCACAGGGGGGAATGTGTAATATTACAGCAGTTAAAGTCAAAAATAGGCATAAGTAAGTAATTAGTAACATGCAGTACATAAGTGTGAGGATAATTCATATCTGTCATATCTTTCTTTTCATCATATTTCATCATATTTTTAACCTTACATAAAAATATAATGAGTGCAATATTCATATCTGTTCATACCTCCCCATAACTATGTATATATTTCACTTTGGCACCTTATAATGTTTTATTATAATGGTTATTGGCACCTTATAGTGTTTTATTTTTTTTGCACTAGTTAATGACATCTGTACTTTATTGTTTTATTTGCACTAGTGTATTGGTATTTGTATTTATAGTTACTCTTATTTTCTGACACTATTGCATGGTGAGTTGCTTGAGGTGCCTGGGATTTAAGATTTTCATGGCCAACATGTACGCTGTATCTGTTGTGCAGCTGACGATAAAGCCTTTGAACCTTGAATTGTAAGGAATATAAAAAACCTCCCATTCAGACACATAAGGTGATTCAGAAAGCTCTGGCACATCGTGTAGGAAAAAGGGGTGGAGTGCACTGTTTCAATAAACAACTGCCTCTAACACTGTGTGTGTTTCACAGAACAATGAGTCAGGGAAACTGAAGGAGCACTGCTTTGACTGCAGCTCACAACTGTTGAGCAATGAGAGTGCCACAGTTAAGCTCTTAAGCAGCTCTCCATAGTTAATGCATTCACACTCCTGTGGTGAGTGAGGCTTATTGAAAATGTGCTTTGTCACTTGCTTGAATTCTCTTATTGTATTCTTACTTTTTAGCAATTTAAAAACCTATCAAACATAGTTATATCATAGTTCAACACGAATACAAGACCCATATGTCCTGTTCCTGAGGTTGATTATATTCTAAAGTCATTACCAAATGAGATGGTAGTTGCATGAACAAAATCCCCCAAATGATGACCCACATTACCTGGAGTAAGGTGTGACTCCTGCACCTTTAACCTGAATCTCCCATCGCCCCTGGGAGCCTGACTCCACCTCCCCCAGGTACAGGGCCGCTCCATCCCCCAGCTGACCCGCGAACAGGCCGAACTGATGTCCGCAGTAGCAGTGAGCAGCGGCCTGCGAGCCGGGCAGCAGCCTGGATCCGCTCAGATACTCCGGAGCCCGAGGGTCACTCAACACATCCCGATCACTGAGGCCGAGTAGAGCCAGTGCTGACCGGGACAGCGCCACGAGGTGGGGACGGGGCAGCGGCTGGAGGGTCCTGATCCGGGAGAAACACGCCCCTGGGACGGTCCGGGACCCGGGTTCATCTGTGTCATCCACCGGCAGCTTCCTCAGCGCCGTGTTGTGGAAGGACAAGAGCTCCAGAGCTGTGGAGCCGGGCTGAGAGGACTCCATGAGCCGTCACCACCACAACCATAGTGGATCAAGGATTATGTGAGCCTGGATAAATATGCGTGAACAAAGCCGAATACACACCACCAGAAAATAAACCACAACACAGCGAATAAGGGGGAGAAATACTATTAAACAGATATATAATAATATGAATAGTAATAATAACAATAGGAAGAAGAAGAGCAACAACAAACAGCAAAATATAAGGGCATCAATAAAACAATATACAATGGTAGGCTAATTAAAGTATAAAACCAACAAATACATTCTTTGTAAGGGATTTGAGACATCTTTTTTAACTTTAAACGATTCTTTTTCTATTTGACATTGTGTCCTATTAGAGAAGTGTTAAGAAATAGATTCATCCATGTGTATTATTGGTATGATCTTTTATGAAGTCACTTTAAAAGCAGTGACACCGTGAAACCTGTTCCAGTAGCATTATTTTGTAGCAGTGCAAATTATCACCAGGAGGTGGCAGCAGAAAGAAAATACACCTCCTGCAGTATAATACACACGAAGAAGAAGCAGCTCTCGACAACAGTCCAGTATCACGGTGTAAACAATTATCGAGGTTATTTATTCGAAGTGCGTCACGTGTCGTGGTTTCAAAGTGGAAGTGTTGCAGCTGCAGATGAACAGCCTCCTCTGTCACATCCTGTTTTATCCCCAGGCTGATAACAGGAGTGGTCGGGTAGTTAGCCCGCTGTGGCTAACCGCAGCTAACCACAGCTAGTGAAACTTTTCTGCGCCGCTATGAGAAGATGGATTTGAGTGTTTTCATGGCCGGTTCCAAAGGTTGGTTCAGAGACGAGCCTACAACGAGTGAAACACGACGCGTGTTTATTATAATAGTTTACCAGATGACTTTCCCCTGTGCGTCCATCACAGCTAAGTTAGCCCAGGTGGCTAGCTGACTGCCTTCACTTTGTTTTGACACGTTATATGACGCGACACGAACCCTTCGTGTGCACGTTGTGATGTGAATATCTGCGGTGTGTGTGCAGACTGTACTAACATGGCGAACTTAGCTAACGTTAGAGAACATCGCGGTTCTTGAACACACACTCGAGTGTTGAAGTCCATTAAGGTTGCGTTCAAAGCACGTTGCTGCTACATCATGTTAAACACACAAGAGCTATCATCTCACTGAGCAAACACCAGAGATGGGTTGTGGGTTGTAATATTTGCTCATCGACAATTGGAATGAAAACAAGTAATAAAATGGAGACATAATTATCACTGATTATCTTCTTCAACAAATGAGCATAGAGGTGTCAGTAAAAACCCTAATCTGTCTTCCCATCATCAGTTTCTTGAACAATCGTGAACTTGATATTTAAATATTGTCTTTATAGACATATAGTCAGAGTGAGACAATTTAACAACTTTAAGGCAATAGTTCCCCCAAAAATGAAAATTTGCTCATTATTTACTTTCCACTATTTAGATGGAGGGGTGGGTGAAGCGTTTGAGTCCACAAAACACTTTAGGGGTTTCAGGGGTGAACAGTGTTGCAGTCAAATCAAACAAAATGGAAGTAAATGGTGACCACTTGTTCAAATGTAGAAAAACAAATAAAAAACCTCCATACTTCTCCTGTGGTGTCAGGAAGCCCTGACATTCAAATTCGACTTGAAACAGTGTCATTGACGTATTTTAAACCTAAATGTCCGCTGTTATCCCACTACATGTTTGTCTCTATGCTCTTGTCCAAGGGGCATGTGACGACATCAGCGAGAATTCACGATAGCCGCCGTTTTGTCACATTCAATGCGACACAAACGTGAGCTTAATTCCTCTTCAGGTTGAATGTGCTCTTGTTTTTCAGATGACCCTTTACCTCTGGCATCACTGCGCCTCTTGGTCCCGCCTGTGCAGCTCATGACAGCCTCTATGTGGCAGGTGCTGAAAAAGCAAGATGTCATGAACTACTGGAACATGGCAGAGTTTGTCTCTTTGGTAACGGACATGGTCCCTGAGCTGCTAATGTACAAGCACAGTACACAGCTGAACCTGGGATTAAGAGCCAGGGTGGGTACGAGCGGAGAACATAACATATATATATTAATAGCTAATGTTATATTTTGTTTTTCCAGATGTAGATATGGGAATGCTGGATAATTGTGACGTGTTATTTTTTTTCCTCCTACATAGTATATCCTTGAGCTGTGCAGACGTGAAGAGCTTATGGAAAGTGACTTCATCTTATCTCACCTGGACAAGATTCAATCACACAATCTTACACAGGTAGATTGAAGTGTTTCAGCTTTTACTTTATTTCATTTTACAAAACGATTTTCTTTTTGTGACCCTAAATTTCTGCCTCTTAATATATATATATAACAAATTCATCAACATCACATCAGCAGTTATCCCGCAATAAACCTCTAATGATGTTTATGTCTCTATTCAGATGAAGGAATTGGGAGAGGAGGAAGTCACAGTAAACTTTCTTGAGTTGATCCAGACTCTGCTCAAAGGTCCCGAAGAGAGACAAGACTTTTTCTCGGTATGACAGTTTTACTTACACCTCTGTGGAGCCAAATCCAGCTGTTTCCTCTGTAGCTTATGAAGCCATAAATATATTTTATAAGTTTGATTCTTTCAGTGGCACATATTCATTTGTTTTTGGAATCTGGCGGAGGTACAAATAGCAAAGGAAAACTTTGAGACATGTTTGAAATCACAATGCATTGCACAATGTAAAGAAAAAATAATATTTAACGTTCAGGTATTTATGTAGAAATACCAACATTTTGTTTTGTATTTATAATGCTGTAAAACTGGTTTTATAACAATGTCTTTAATTCTTTCTAAGGAGGTCTTCCCTGCAGAGTACGGACCTCAGTATGACAGTGATCTGGAGACCCTGTTTTGCGAGTTTGTCTGTCGACTGACTCAGCTGTTACCTGTTCCTGACATCAAACAGGTAAGAGGTGTCATTTTGGATAAAGTGGTAACACGTGTATAACACTGTGGCAAAGAAAGAACAACTTAACACTACTGGGCGTAGTACTGTTGGGAAGCAGTTAACATTACAGTACAGTTGCTTTCATTGTGGGTCTAATGAAAAATCAGGCTGTGGTTCTGTGTTTATAAACTGAAGTCTGCCAAGTGTTTTTTCGTCTCAGACAGGTGGGTGTACAATTTACAAGACAAGCTGTGAAAAAAATACTATTTCAGTTCGGTAGTTGTTGAACTGAGCTAATATTAAATTAAATAGTAATCTCCCATTCTACATATTGTTACAGAATTGAAGCAGAGATAAGATTATATAGCATTTACGTACCATAAAGCGACAGTTACTAAAGGCTACTTGATATCTTACAGGTGGTTAAACTGCATGGTCTAGTTGAATTGGATTTGATGCTATGTTTGTTTCCATCTGTTTCCCTCAGACTATGTTATGGCTTGGAGCTGAACGCTCGGTGTCGGAGGATTGTATAAATTCAGTGTCTAAGTCTACGGAGCTGAAACATTTACTCCAGCACCACAAAGGGTTGGGGCATTTAGAGCAACATGGTAAGTCTTTTCCTGGAACCCCTTCCTATGTTTCACTGTAATTGCTGAAAACACAACTCTATAACAAAAACGTGTTTCCTTATTATCCTTTTTTGTGCAGTTCCACCTGCTAGTATGGGCGAGAGCATCCTTTCCTCCCTCTCTGCGGTTCCTCCTAGCAGAGTGGCAAAAACTACAGAACAACCCAACCAATCAGGTCCACCGCAAGGGCTCAGTGATGAAACACAAACTGTCTCATTTGTGAATAATGTAGAAGTTGAAATAATCACAGTGACAGATTATGCAGAGGTTGAATTGGGCACAAGCACAGACATTGAGCTGGTAATCGAAGAACAATGCTACGAAGGACCAGACAGTTGCGCAATGGCTGAAAACTCCCTGGAGGTGCTTCCTGAAAGAACGACCAGGGAAAAGGAAGTTGATGAAGCAGGGGGAGGAGCAACGCAAGAAAAAGTTGAAAGCGTCCAAGCAAACGTCGTCCAAGCAGAAGTTAAAGAGGACGACCCAGCTTCCTCCCAACACACAGGTCCTCACGACTGCCCGGACTGTGAGAAGAAATTTAAGTTTGCCTCTTCACTAATTGCCCACAGAGTCATCCACACCGGTGAACGTCCCCACCGCTGCAACGAGTGTGGTCGCTGCTTCTCTTTCAGACAGTCCCTTGACAGGCACAGATACACGCACAAAACTGGACGCAAGTACGACTGCGTTATCTGCGGCGAGACCTTCCATTCCTTGTCGGCCCGCACGGAGCACAAACAAACACATATGGAAGACGGTGTTTACGCATGCCAGCAGTGTAACAGGAAGTTCACCTGGGAGCTGGCTCTTGCAAGGCACATGAGAACTCACACCAATGATCGGGCCACTGATAAGCCCACAGGGATCCTTAAGGATGGAGAAGAGGTTGTTGTAAGTGATGAAATAGTCTGTGAGGATCCAGTTCAACCGACTGAGTCCGACTGCCAGGTGAAAGCAGAAGATAAAGGTGATCAGGATCCAGAGAATGCAGAAGTCCAGAGCAGCGAGGGCATCGTCCGTGAGTCTGGAAACCTGTTCCCTGAACTCGATAATCATCAAGCCTCACCCCCAGCGAATGTTCGCACAAGCGGGCGCAAACGCAAACCGACCATGAAGATTCAGGTGATAAATTTACAGAAGCGCCTGAGTACGAAGAGGAAAAAGATCACCCGAGTGGACCCTGACCTGAAGCCTTTGCCTTTCAGCTGGTAAAAACATCTGCTCTTATTAACCATCTTTGTTACATCTCACAAAGTGTCCTCCTCTGTTTTTGTGGTTCTGTTTTATTTTATTGGTTATTGTTGGCTGTCAGGTTGAATAAGCACCTCTTGTTTATGTTTCTTTAACAGTGCAGAGCACTCGTATGGCTCACCCACGGTCTCATCAAAGGACAGTAACGAAAGTGAGTGTTCATTTGTAGTTGATATTTTCACCACAGTTGGTTTGTCAGAGTGACTGGATAACGTAGGCACCACGCAGCATAAAACAAATCAGTGCAACTGCATAGTGCATTCAATTGAAATAAAAGATGACAAGTCAGTCTAGCTAAAATGATATTGCAAATAATTGACTGAAAAAGTTTTAAATCGTCTTTTATAAGATAAACACACCAATATTTCCTCAATGACTTGTAAGTGATTATGTGATCCAAACAGTTAGATATTAATAGTTAACTTTGAAGAAGTGACACTTCCTTTATGAAAGTAACTGTCAGGTATTGTTCCTTTACTCTGAAATAATCTGTAATTACAGCAGTTTGTTCAACAATTGTATTAAATGACCACTGTCAAGATGACCCTGTTTATCTTTGAGGGGTCAGTGTGTAGAATATATCCCCCTCACCACACCCTCCCCTTCCCATAATGAAAGAACCTGTGGTAGTCTTCAGTCTGGGTATGCTGTAAAAAAAAGACACTGGGGAAAACATCACTAGGATAATGATGTGTTTAAGTATGTAGATGTGAGGCATTGGAGAAGGTCTGTGTGTCTATTGTCAACATCATTAAGTAAAGTAAAGTGAATATTAACGTGCTTTCAAAGAGCTTGTAAATATTAAGGTAAAGCATTATCCTATTTGAGCACAGATTTTAATTTCTCTCGTACATTTCCTCCTCAGCAGTTTTCTCCTGTCCAAAGTGCTCGTTCCAACACTCGGACGAAGTGCAGGTCCAACAGCACATTGACACCTTTCACTCTGCTGAGACTGAGGAGGACAAGTCCCTTCACCATCTCGCCGATGAACAAGAAGGTTTTAGTTGTTCAAACTGTGAGAAGAGCTTCAAGTTCCAGTCTTTACTCAAAGCACATCAGAGGATCCACACAGGCGAGCAGCCCTTCCTGTGTTCTCAGTGCGGACAGCGTTTCTCCTTCAAACAGTCACTGGACCGGCACAAGCAGACGCACGAGTCCGGACGCAAGTACGAGTGCCTGATCTGCGGGGAGTTCTTCAAGTCCCTGTTGGCTCAGAGGGAGCACAAGAGCACCCACATGGAGAACGGCGCATACCTGTGCTCCGAGTGCGGCCGGGCGTTTGCCTGGAAGTCAGCACTGGTGAGGCACGCCAAGACCCACGGTGAAGACGCCGACAAGCCGGAGCGTCCTTACAAATGCCCTCAATGTAACCTGGGCTTCAGCTGCGCCAGCTATCTCAACAGGCACGTCCAGACTCACCAGGAAGAAAAAGTGCACAAGTGCAACTGCGGGAAGAGCTTTGCCTACCGGGCGGCTCTTAGCGCCCACCAACGCATCCATCAGAGGGAGCGGCCGCACACGTGCACACAGTGCGGCAAGGGGTTCCTCTACAAGGGGGGTCTCCGGAACCACATGAAGATCCACTCAGAGGAGATGCCCTTCATGTGCTCCTTCTGCGGAAAGAGCTTTAAGAGGGAGCGCAGCATGAAGAAGCACGAGCGCTGCCACACCAGGGAGAACGTTTTCAGCTGCTCACAGTGCGACAAGAGTTTCGTTTACAAGGCCACGCTGATCCGACATGAGCTGACGCATTCGGGCGAGAGGCCGTACCTCTGCTCCGACTGCGGGAAGGGCTTCTTCTCCCACGCCGAACTTCTGAAGCACGAGCGCTTCCACACGGGCCACAAGCCCTTCCAGTGCCCCCACTGCAGCAAGAGTTTCACTCAGTCATGCTACCTGACCATCCACCTGCGGTACCACACCGGCGTCCGGCCCTACCCGTGCACTGAGTGCGACAAGAACTTCCTGAGTGCGAACCGCCTGAAAAGACACCAGCGAATACATTCAGGGGAAAAACCATTCCTGTGTGGAGAATGTGGGAAGAGTTTCAGACAGTCGTATAATCTGAAAATGCATCAACGAACACATATCATGAAGTTAACATAACTGGGCAAGTCTTGAACTTATTGGAAATGTGAATTGTGTATTATTTATGATGTATATTGAGTGTGGGAGGAAAGCAATGATAGATGTGCATCTCATAATAAGTGCTAATGACATGTTCATTGACTTCTTTCAGTTACTGGTTGTGTTGAAATTAAAGCACACCGAGCACAGGAATGTTTTACTGATGTATCGTCATGTTACATCCGTGTGAATTGACTCAGAATCAAATAATGGAACAGAAAACGTTTCTACATAAATTCAGGTTTTATTGAGAAGTGGGTGTAGTTATACAACAGAAAATTCGAAAGGGGTTGGAAAGGAAGCTTAAACCTTTTTGCGCTCCAACAAAATACATTTTCTCTTGACGGCAGTAGTTTATTTTAAAACAGTAACACAGAAAAACATGGGGTGGTCTCAGATCAGCAGTAGTGCACACAGAAGCCACGCTGAGACGGTTTTACAAGAATTATTAGAAAAAGCTTTCAAGTGAAAAAGAGTAAATGACTAAATTCCTGCAGTACTGACTTTAGTGAATAAATGAGATTGGGCTGCACTTTACAGACAAGAACTTTCAACACTAGCACATGTGATGTTGGTGCCAGGTCAGAAAAGATGTATTGAGAAAACAGTGCAGGAGAGGTAGAGAAGTGACCTACATAGCGATGTGCAGAGTGATGGGGCAGTGGTCGCTTCCCATCGCCTGGTTGCGGATCTTGCTGTCGCACAGGCTCGGCAGCAGGGACGACGACAACAGAAAGTAATCGAGCCTCCAGCCCACGTTCTTTGAGCGGGAGTTCATCATGTAGGTCCAGAAGGTGTAGGCGTTGGTCTGCTCAGGGTAGAGCTCGCGGAAGCTGTCGGTGAACCCGGCCTCCAGCAGCTGGCTGAAGCCCTCGCGCTCTTCGGGGGTGAAGCCTGCGTTTTTCTTGTTGCCCTTGGGGTTCTTCAGGTCGATCTCCTGGTGTGCGACGTTGAGGTCGCCGCACAGCACCAGGGGCTTTTGTATGTCGAGCTCGCTCAGGTACGACTGGAAGTCCACGTCCCAGGTTTTGCGATAGTCGAGGCGCACAAGGCCTCTGCCGGAGTTTGGCACATAGGCGGTCACCAGGTAGAAGTTGGGGAACTCTGCAGTGATGACGCGGCCCTCCTTGTCATGCTCCTCTTTGCCTGGGGGGAGAAAGAGGAGATTCACTTGACAACTGAAGCAAATACTTGACATTTTCAGTTTAGTAATTGATCTAGGTTTGTGTTCACAGTGGAGATACAGATCAAACGGTTGGCTGGTTAGTTTAGATTGACACCATAACTGGGAGTAGGAGGAAACAGCTACCCTGGCTCTGGCATTAAAAATTCACCTATGCAATGTGATAGAACAGCAAAGTCAAATGGAGACTAACCGATCCCATAGGTCACTTTGAGGGGTTCGGTCTTGCAGAGCATGCCCACACCGCTGTAACCCCCCTTTTCATCGGAGGCGGCCCAGTACTTGTGTGGGTACTCGGGCATCGAGGTGATGTCGGCCGGGAGGTCTTTCTCCGCACACTTGGTCTCCTGCAGGCACAAAACATCTGGAGCCTCCTCACGCACCCACTGGGAAAGAAGAACACAAATGTAAACATGAAGCACACACTTACAGATTGGTCTTTCGGGGTCACTTCAAACTCACATCCAGGCCCTTTTTTTTCACCCAGGCCCTCAGTCCGTCCACATTCCAGGAGGTGATCTTCATGTTGGCGTCTCGTCCATCTTTGCTGGTCATTTTGTCGGGAGGGTCATCGTACAGTATCGGTGCCTCTGGCTCCTTAGCCTTCTTTGTTTTCTTTGCAGTGGCTGCGAGGTGGAAGAGGGGACAGGTCATAATGGAATTGGCCAAGGTCAAAGGTCAGCTACGTACAGTAAAGTTTAATATATAGCAAATATAGGGACAGTGTGTTTTTGGATGAGTTTTAGAAAGTGCTGACGTACCAGGGCTGGTGTCGGCCTCCCCTTCTACTGCAGCCGCCTCCTCTGCCTTCTTGCCTCTTTTCATACTTGAACTCCCTCTGGTGGCAAACACACCTCGCAGACGCACGACACGCACACACAACAGCACACACGCCGCTGGAAAAACCAGAAGAGGAAGTTAAGATAAGAAGTACTCACGTCTTAAATGCCATAAAGGACAAGACTCGGCCTGTAGAACATAATGTGCAGAGTCAGATTCATAACTCGGTGGAAAATGGAAATGCTTTTCAATGGAAATGACCAACATCAGCTGAAAACATGTTCAGCTCCTCGCGTGTATAACGGTTAATACGTCTGCGTGGACTCTGGGGACTTTGTTTATCAACACATGGTCAGGTCCATGTGCTCCCTACAGTCAGACTGATATACATTTGATGGGCTTTAACATAGTTATCATACATCTTTGATGACCCATGAACTTTGGTATAAAAGAGCTGTGACTAAGTAAACATTAATATAACTCACTGATCAGTCAGCATAACCAACAGTATTATGGACAATGAGCTCAGAGCAGCAGATAGATCTGTTTCCGACAGAGCTTTGATACGACTGCAATCTTTAGTAATGATCTCCTCAAAGATCCATTGAGATATCGACAGACAGAAACGTGTGCAGTAGTGTCGGCCCCTCGGATTTCCGATGCAAGTCGTCTCTGTGCGGGAGCTCACGGTCAAACTTACGAAACGCGACTCTGTCTGCGATCGGGTGGCTGTGCATTGTTCACAACAAGTTGAATGGAAAGCTAAGCTAATGCTAGCTGCTGCTGCCGCTGCTCCGTGACAAAGAGCCCAGAGCCTGCAGCCCCCGGCCCGCACGCAGAATCAACGGAGTGTGAGCAGATCCGCTGCTTTCACTGCAAATATATCCGATTCATCTGTCAATGCAAACACGGAGCATTCGAGTTTTCGTTTGTGGAGAATGAGATGCAAATAATCTTACTTGTAAGCTGGATGCAAAGAGCGGATATGCGCTGCCAGTCAGTCACTCCCCCACTCTCTCACTCTCTCACTCATACACACACAGAGCAGAAAGCAGTCCTCACCACGTGCTTGCTGTATTGAGTGACTGTCCGAACGTATGCCTGATAGAAATCACGAAAATAAAACGCCACGTTTTGTATTTACAACTTCAAAA